GATAACAATAACTCGTCCAAAGATATCAATGCAGAAGTTAACACCAATGCAAATGATAGCAGTAACTCGTCTAAAGACTCGTCTAAAGAAGCTAACAGCAATGCGAATGACGATAATAACTCGTCTAAAGATAACAATGCAGAAGCTAACAGCAATGCAAATGACAATAGTAACTCGTCTAAAGATGTCAACGCAGAAGTTAACACCAATGCAAATGATAGCAGTGACTCGTCTAAAGACTCGCCCAAAGAAGCTAATAGTAATGCGAATGACAGCAATAACTCGTCTAAAGATAGCAATGCAGAAGTTAACACCAATGCAAATGATAACAATAACTCGTCCAAAGATATCAATGCAGAAGTTAACACCAATGCAAATGATAGCAGTAACTCGTCTAAAGAAGCTAACAGCAATGCGAATGACAACAATAATTCGTCTAAAGATATCAATGCAGAAGCTGACTGCAATACAAATGACAACAATAGTAATAACTCGTCTAAAGATAAATCCAATGCTCCAAAAGTTGGCGACAAAAATAATAAACCCACTGCTCTAAAATTTGGCGACAAAAATAAAGAATCCGATGATGCTCCAAAAGTTGGCGACAAAAATAAAGAATCCAATGATGCTCCAAAAGTTGGCGACCAAAATCAAAAACCCACGGCTCTAAAAGTTGGCGACAAAAATAAAGAATCCGATGATGCTCCAAAAGTTGGTGACAAAAATAAAGAATCCAATCCGCCAAAAGCTGGCGACAAAAATAAAGAATCCAATGATGCTCCAAAAGTTGGGGACCAAAATCAAAAACCCACGGTTCTAAAAGTTGGCGACAAAAATAAAGAATCCAATTATGGTCCCAAAAGCAGGCGACGAAAACGACAAATCGTACTATGATTCCGAATAATCACATGATTCCAAAATTCAAATGGTTCGGAAATAAATCCACTCTTTTCATCAACATTTCACTTTGTTGTAAGTTATTTCTTGTTGGTGAATCAATTCTTTATAAATTAAATATATTCTCGTAAATATCACTATTTTATTTTATAAATTTAATTCAATTACGTAGAATACTTTTCAATATAAATAATTCGTATAGACAGATGAATTCTACAATACTAGAATTTCTATTTAATAAATATGATTATTAAAAGCAAAATCACAATCATCTTTATTTTGCTTGAACATAAGCCATATTTTATGAAATATACCAGTATCTCGTTAATTATGTTCACACAGATCAAGTTTTTTTTCAATTGAAAACTTTACTGTTAAAGTGAACTTTACAACTCAATCTGCGTACATTTTTGCACTTTTTATAATATTTTGCTTCAAAATAATACCAATACAAAGAGCACAACAGTAACTTCCGAACAATACGCTAGATTGGTAAAATTCTTCCAATCGATCCAGCATAGTTTTCGGCGCATCGTATAATACATTGTTACTTTTCAATTGCAGCTTTTACCACTACCAAAAGCTCTCATATAATTACAATTAAGGCAGCGGTCTTTTATTTAGGTATATGGCAAAGAAGTCGAACAACCCACGAAGACCAAGCAGTGATAAATGTTAGCGCCATCGATCCCGGTGTTCACTCACACAATAATACGGTTGTTTTGGAGAAAATGATATACAGCGTATTATTCATCTTCTACTTGCACTTGATCATCTCACCTCAAGCACTTCTCATGTGCCAGTATGAAGACAAAGAAAGTATCGTCGTGCGCACACATTTGACAACGGACAAGGAACTTGATTGATGTATTTGATGTAGTGATTATCCCACCTTTCAATTCACACACGATGTTTGGGAAAGGAGGCGGAGGCTAAACAGGCGAACGGTACGGAAAATGTCAGCATGGAGTCACGCACGATTTCTCAATAGGGTGCTCACAGCAAGGTAAAAGCGTTAGGAGGTTATTGTGTTCGAAGTAGACGTATGGGAGTCAATAATGGCTTGCGCGGACAAAAGGTCTTTAGATGTTGTAATTGTCTGTGGGTCGCAGACAGAATTGTACACAGTAAAACTCGATGTAGCGGATATTCGATATAATGAAGACTAATAAAATCTCAACATAGCGGATTGAGGTTCGGAACGGATTATAATAAGTCTTTTCGATATAACGGATTTCTTAGTGATGAGTATTTGTGTTATATTCCAAATCTACTAATAAGTTCTTCTATTATTTGTGCTATAAATTCTGTTTCTTGATCTGATTGTAATATTTTTAGGCATCTATGTTGACAAATAATTTCTTTGAATATAAACTTAGCAACAGTTGCAACTTCTTGGATATTGCTTTTGCTTCAGGTCATTTTGTTAGATAATCTATAGTGATTATAATATATTAATTTTTTTGTTGAGTTAATTTGCAAGATCTAATAAGATCTATTACAATATGATCAAAAAATTGTTCAACTTTAATTAGATATAAAGATTCTTTATGTCAATTCCCATTCCATTTTACCAATATTATATAACAATTCATTAATAAGTTTTATTATATTCAAAGTGTTCAAATAAAGAGTCTTCATGCATTACTTTCATTACTACTTCAATTTCATTTTCTTTTAGTACCTAAAGTGAATTAATAACTTCTTTTCATCAGTTAATTTTAAATAATAATTCATTTTGTATGACAAAATGTTTAGATTATTGTTGTAGTTATTTCTTTTGTTGTTCAGTAAGAGTTGAGTTATAAGTTCTATTATTCAAAAATTGAAGTAAGTTATAATATGTTGTTAAGTCCATTTTTGATAGTATTGATTGATTTTAAATATTAATGATCAGCAGAGTTCATTCAGGATAAAATATCAGCATTTTGATTTACTCATCCAGATCAATAGCTAATTATAAAATTGTATTTCATCATTGTAGTGATTCATCGAGATATTCTTGATGTTGGGTTTGTTTGTTTATTGAAAAGCCATCATAGTATATTATAATTAGTTATAATTTCAAAGATCATTTTGAGTAGATAATATCTAAATTGTCAAACAATTCAAACTACTGCTAGAGCTTCTTTTTCAGTGATATTGTATTAGATTTCAGCTGATTTAAGAGAAATACTTGAATATGTAATTACTCTTTCTTGATTTTGATCAACTTTTTATAAGAGTATGGCTCCCAGTCCAAAATCAGAGATATCAATATAAAGATAAAATTTCTTTATAAAATTTGAATAAATTAATATCAGCATTATTGTAAATATTTTCTTGAGTTTGTTGAAAGCTTCTTCTTTATTAATAGTTCAAACAAAAGTAATATTATTTTATAGCAATTTGAATAGTGATGCAGTTATTTGTGAAAAGTCTTTGATGAATTTTCAGTAGTATTGTTACCATTGTTACGATTGGAAATTCCTATAATTTCCATAATTTCTATAATTTTCATAATTATCATAATTTTCATAATTCTTATAATCTTTATAAACTCTAAAAATATTATAAACTCTATATTCTTTATAATTTTTATATA